GGACCTGGTCTCCGTGTCGACGCAAATTACGACCCTCCTGCGACTTCATTATCGAAATCGTATGTGGCGGGTTATCGCACACCATACACGAGTGTTCATATAATCTCACTTCTATTCCCTCGGTGTTTTTGACAGCTCTGTCATAAATCAAATAGTGATAATAAGTAAAATAGGCGTCACACTGCGCTAGAGCCACCGCCACGAATTGGATGATATCGTCTTTCCGCCAACGCTGTGTGTCAAACGTTAATACGTTATACACATAATAATAATAATATAAATTTGTACGGCGGCATTAATCGCGATCCAAACAAACACGTTATATAACTTTCGATTCCCGATCAATAAGTATTTAGGTACCTAAATAATTAAATATCATAGCGTATACGGAAATAAATTCAAATCTATTTGATTATTATTTTTCATTATTAAAATAATATGTTTTCACCAACTACCCGTAATAATTATTATTTGAATGTTCGATTGAACACGATAGGGTCCAGTGTACCCGATATAGACAGTGAAGTTCATAGTACGTCTACAGTATGTATTGACAGAAGACCTTACACGATATTACAATATTATTAAACAATATCGTGTCTGCACATCCAAAAATATCTCAAGAATAAATCCTTAAAAATAGTATGCGTTTCCAAAGTTAACTCTAAATGTATGAATTGTAAATCAGCTCAGAACACTRATTATAATATTATATCATAATATTTAATAATATCAGCTCGTAGGTTCGATAATATACAAAAACCCATACACAATTATTATGGTATCGGAAYCCCRATACTAAGAACAATATACAGGTTGTACCATTATAACGTGGTTATAGACGAGGTATGCKATACCTATTAACTCTGGTATAATAGCGGTAGTTAGGAGAGTCACCCGTGGATTCGACGTTTGTATATTATAATAGTAACAATAAAGATAATCATAACATTTCAGTGCGTGAAAAAAGTTTTCTCCCCGGCATAATGYACCGAGAGCTCGGCGGCCGCGCACATTTGGCCGTAAAGTCGTTTTGATGGAACAAACGTGTAGCGATATTTTATCGTCTTGTAAACGGGGTCACGCCCGTGGTGTCAGCTCTGAGGCAGTGGTGTTGACTTAGATCCCATCATAGGCATGTAATAAAAAAAATGGGGAGAATTTTTTGCGGTGGTGGTGGTGGTGGTGGTGGTGGTGAAAAAACATATCGTTTCGAATTCAATAAGATAAAAGGCGAAAAACGCGTTGATGATATACGCGTGTGCGTAAAATATTGAGTATCATATTATGAAAATTGTAAAACTCCCGCCTCCGCCCTTCCAGTGAATAACAAACACGCGAATAAAAATAATATTTTTTGGTTATAAAAAAAAATAAGTTCACAGTGCCGTTACGTAGTCGTATCCCATAAATTCCCCATGTTTTTTTTTTTAAAGCTCGCGGTGTATATTATGATGTACTCCCCATGCCCGAAATCTGGCATTGGCTGTATACTACCATCACTGCCGTCCACGTGTAGCCAATTTAATTTTCCATCGTATAAACCATCGAGGCAGAAAAACTCTTTTTCCGATATAAACATCTTTATTTCGTTTTTTTTTTTCCGCGGAAGGATAAAAACTCATTTCCAGAAAGGTTTAATGAACCGAAGCGGGATTATACTAAATTTATTAGTTTGCAATATTATAATATATTAATGTAATACCTTGGTATTGGTATAAGACCGACACRCATTATGATAATACCATTGACCGCTGATCTGAATTACAGATGATTATTATTGGACCATAATCGAAATGTTTATGACATCAATTTATGTAAATTATAATATCATTTCTAACACAGTATTCGGTACAGTATACCTAGTACTCTGGCACAAATAGAGTTTTATTAGTACTCATAACTCCTCCTAAAAGCTACCTTAAGAAAAAATTAATAGGAGGAACTTTGGTTATATAATTATTGATAAACATTTGAACACAAAATACCTTGGGAGCTTGAGCATCACTGAACATTTTTCGTGTCTTGGTCACTTCTGGTATAATACCTATATTTGGTAATATCTAATTTGATAATGTAAGATATCAATGTGTTGACCGTACGATATTGACATTTCACTATAACCTGTTACTTCTAAGTTCTTAACTCTATAACGCGATATGCTCTCGTGATTACGACCACGGGTGGTTACCTGTTACCTCAATGTCATTATATAGTCGGAGTACACTTGAATGGAATCGACGATTAAGGGCACGATATATACGAATTTAAATAGTACTCTAGAGTCCTGAAAAAAATATATTTTTCTTTACGTCGTGTTCATTAAATATCAATTATTCTGGAAATTTGTAAAGGAAAAATATAATCATTTCACTGCGATACAYTTGCCGTATAAATTCATACAATAGTATTCCATGTAGGCACCTACTTACAATAATATTATTACCGTCGTAGATACTTGAAAATTAAACGAATTTTTATGGAATCTGGTTTTTTTAAGCCCTCGTTARGTACAGTAGATTTTAAACGCAATGTTTAGTATACAATATATTATATACGCTTTCTGTGTTACACGCACATGCAGTGTATTATATTAATTATATAACTTATTCCGAGTGTTATATTTACTGTTATCGTAGATGACCTTTTTTCATTCACTATAACATAAATCTCTAACGATTATGATACTGACTGCTTTCGCTGGGAAATACATCGGAAAAAAATCTGTCAAAACGAATATTTAATTTTGTGGTAATCGATTTGACAGATGAATCCAAAACGATTAACCTTTTTTCGATTTTTCATAAACTTTTTGTGCTCCCACGTACATTAATCAGTTACTTACATACGTGTACAAATGTACAATTCAGTGGAGCAGAACTCAGGGTTCATGAATGGGGGTATTATAATCCCAGGATGAGTAGTGCAGGCCAGTCTTATCAACCTGACAATAACCTGCCACCAATTAGACATTATCTATTGGTTTTTTTATTTATATATAGTTTTTCTATCTACAATCGAAAGATGAGTAGTACATTATAGCAGTTATAGTTTGTGTCATAATATTTCAACCGTTGTTTATATTGTGTAATAAATGTGATTTTGATTGAGTTATTTTAATAACCCTGAGATTCAGTTTAATTATATCTAGAGTTGTATTATCTCATTTTTCAATACCTATAATAATACGCAATTTGGCACAATTTGAACATTGTACTAATAAATTTTATTTCAGACAATAGAGTAATAATTAAAATTATTCTCATGCGATTTAATCTTAACTTAAAAAGTCGAATCGACGAAGGTCTGGAGAGGGTCTGTGTTTGAAACATTTTTGGCGATGGTCTACTGATAAATTACAAATGATATTGCCATCCGAAAAAAATCGAATTCAGCCCAAAGTAGGTATGTACACAAGTGTACGGATCACATTGAATGTGTTATAAAACCAGAACGCAGCATTAAAAATTGATAAAAACGTATTTGATCGACACCACAGCGCGTTGCATTCGCCTATCTCATATTATTATTATGATTAGTCACAACAGCGTTAACAAACATCGATGGAGAAGGACATTTATAATAATAATTTATCAAAAACTTCGAATCGTCGTACGATTTTTTCGTAGTATATTGCGTATAAAGGCATAGCGATTATTATATTTATTTTTTTAGTGAGGTAAGTACCTATGTATAACAATCAGAAAACGGGAATGGGTCTCGGCGTACAATAACAGTATTGTCTTTAACGAGTTCAATATATTATGCGCGCATCATCAGACCTGCTCTCCTCTTCACTGCTCTTAGGCGCATATTATTATTATTGTAATAAACGTTATCATTTGAAGCGTAACAGCTAATCGCCGTTCACGTGATTCGATAAAAACAAAACATACAGTTAAAATGTTAAAATGTATATTATACTCGCCGTGGTTTAATAATACAGTCAAACGTTTTTTCGCAACGGTTTTAATCATGGACAATACCCATTCCAACAGCGTTTTTGTTACCTAATCTTTGACGAATTGTCGCACGAATCGATAAAATCACGCGCTTGTTATTGGTATTGTTTTGAAACGAACGGGATATCAAAATGGAATAGACGTTATACCAATTGCAATTTACCAGTTCAACGAGCTGTWGGGCGGGAAATTTTATCTGCAATTTTTCGCATTTGCTCGTGCCGTAGCGTTGATGTCGAGAGGGACGCGAGGACAATCCCTTCGGGTCGATACAAATAATAATAATAATAATAATAATAATAACGATAATAATAGAAGACACTCAACCGCATATAATAGTCGAATATGATATACTGATATCTGATATACTCGGTTATAGGCATTATGTATACAATATGTATAATAATAATAATATAATATATCTGCATCCGAGAGACTACTGAAAAATCACCTTGCACCGCCATACGATTCACTGCATCAGAATCACGGTAGAACGGTATGACTCGCAGTCTACATGCGTATGTTATTACGATAGGTACCCAACTGTTATAATAATATCATATTATAATCGTAAGTATACAACCGTGATGTTACGTGATGCACGCGTACAATAATAATATTTTGACTATTAATTGTTACGCCGCTCTATGTAATAACAATAATATAATGTATACGGTGTCTGAAGGGTAAATACACGTCAGAAACGGAACYCCGCGTAATTGATATTCTATTCCGATGTGGACCTCGCAGAACATAATAATAATAATCGTCGACCGACTGGTCCATTGTGGTGATCGATCATGTGTGCATGGCACGGCCGAGACTTTTTCGGTTTGGTAGGTTCGAGAAGGGTGGTCAGAAGGACCGTATATAATAATGACTCCTCCCTTCACATACAGCTGTAATACACATACCTATGTAATATTATTGCATTGAAATATTGTTATACTGTGCATGGTATGCATATATAGTAAACGATGGCCGTATTATGGTATATTATATGGTATTGATATATTTATTTTTTTGTGATATTCGCAGGAAGCCGAGAGTGCAATCGCCGCGATGAACGGTCAATGGCTGGGCAGCAGAAGCATAAGGACAAATTGGGCGACAAGAAAACCACCGACGTTAAAAACCGACTGTGAGTACACCACGAATTGCATTTGACATATTATAATTTTTATTCTATATTTTTATGGTCGAATTGATTTCCAACTTCTCGACATCTTCTTAAAATGTAATTTTCTTATCGTACCTACGCGATATTATGATGTTATTCTTTCCCGTAACATATACCTATAAAAACTGTTTTCGTTGTTGTTTCTTTCGATCCGACGTTGCCGCTGCCAAGTTATTGTTATTTGTCGGTGGTGGTACATTCCCTACTATCATATATTAAGCACCGTTGCTGGTGGAGTGATGATCAAAATAAGCACGAGGAGGGAGGTGTTCGCGGGAGGTCTTAAGGCCCCGCAGGTATCTCAAGGGAGTTTGCAACTCCGAAGGCTTTTGTGTGCGTGTACTGTGCACAGACCTCACCAGGTTTTGCACTTAATTATTCATATCGTGGCCAATCAAACGGACTGATAAGGCGGTGGYGGTCGGCAGCAGGGATATATTGTGTGTAATTTGTTCTAGCAACGTTACCAGGATTGAAAGCATATTAAAATATACCCAACGGCTGTTGCAGCAGGTGCATGACGTATACAATATGAACAATRATGTCATATAATAATGGCGCAGCGTGTAGAAAAAGGAATTATTTTTTATTATCAAATACCATTAGGTACAACTTACACCGGCTCACCCCGGCGTAAAATCTCTGTAAGTCGTGGAATGGGAAAAATATCATGAACGTCGCGCCACCCCCGAGTGTGCGGGCCGCCGACACTATAGCGTCATAACGTCGTCTCTTTTGCTGCGGGGAAAACTGATTGATTCTAGTTGACGTCCRCGCGTTGAGTAGAAACTCTACCGTCATTTATCCATGTCAAATYGTATTCCGTCTCCGCGCGAGCGTTTCACCTATATCCGCGGTGGWAGGGGKGAGAGGGTCGAAGGAAAAAAATACGTGTCAGATATCCCAAGGCGATTCACGACGGCTGCCACGCCGCCGGCTGTATGCACATTATAATATATAATAATAATAATAATATGTGAATACACTTCAGGCTACATTATACTTCCAAGTGTATGTGTTGAATTTCGCAAACGAACGGCACACGAGTGCTGTCAGATCTCATTGAAATTAAATCAAACACGTTTAAAATATTCTGTTCCGTTTTTAGACGGCCTGACTTTTATGCGAGCGTTTCTTCTCGGAACTTCACGACTTTAGCAAAAACTATTCATTTTTTTTATGATTTAGCTTTAAGATGATCGTACAATCTTTTATCAAATAGAACAGCTTGCGAACCCTCGGGCTCAAAATTCGAACGCGTTCGGTGCGAATTTAGGGCTCGATAAAATATTATTATACTGTTATTGATTGTTATATAGTTTAGTAGAATTATATCACAAAGAATTTATTTTTGTGTTTTTTTTTCAAATATTTAAATATTTGATTGTTTATAAAACTTGCATCATGCTAAACCGTTCTCATAGATATTGTCCGACTGAGAATATAATAGGTACGTTCGTTTATTTTGTTTTCTTATTAAAAACTTCATCCGTCATGSATACAACAGYCATTTAAGATAGAGATTTAATAGATATCAGAAAAATGTACASTGATAGCTGATAAGCCATGAACTTCGTGATAGACATTGGACATGCGTAGTGCATTCGGTCAAAACTCTGTTTAATTTACTTATAATATAGTTATTATTTGGAATTATATCAAGAGCTATATAATATATTATACGAGTATATRTATTCAGTCGATGGTTAGTAATATTGACGTTTATGTTCRTCGTGCCATAAAATATTTACAGYCAACTATTGCAAAAACTGTATTAAGATCGGAGGAAGCACATATTAAAATGTTATTCTTAAACAAAAATCAATTTCCAACGATGTAGTACATTATGTACCAAAACCACTCACAATACACATTTTTTACGTTTGTTACCATTTTTTTTTTTACGCGACGACATAAACGTTCCACGGCGTTTTCTTCCTCCTCATCACCAGTCGTTGTGTTCTCATCACGAGTGTTGTAATGACTGGAGGACGTGCTTCAAAAAATTACGACAACTCGCACGTATTACGTTTCGTTGCGTGCAATGTATGCGATAAATGTACACGATAATAATATTATGTTATCATATTTTCAACCTTGGTCCCTTGGTTGCCTACGGCTCTATGTAATATGACGTAGTACAATTATTCAAATTTCCAACTACCAAAAAACCTTACTTAAATTTCCTAATTGATTACTTCTACTATTTTAAACTCATTATAGGTAATATCAAAAAGTCGATCATAAAATAAAAAAAGGTTTTTTTCAAAAGAATTCTAAATATGGGTGATTTTAAACCAGTTATTACTTCATTTAATAACAAATTATTATACTTATTTAATTGCTGCGATAGTTAGGCRATATTTTTATTAGCAACGTATAACTACTGAAATACCAATCACTCTAATACGAGTATAATTATTATGCAKTWTAAWCACTGAATTCATTATTGAATCATAATATTGTTCAACATTGTTTAAAATTATTACCTAACATCAGTAGGTGTAGAAAGAWATATAGTTGTTACAGTTATTATTTATTTTATCGCTGTAATTGTTTAAGTTTTTAACTTTTTTGAATAGCAACGTACATTTTTTTTATTTTATGCACGAAAGCAGAATAATTTTCTGAGAATTCTGGTAAACGAGTATTTAATTACCTAATAATAAGTTTAAAAAGTATTTAAAGTTTAGAATGGAGCGGTGATACCACGAAAAAAAATTTATATTAAMTATATCTACTAAGATTCCAAACTTTTAACATATACAACTAATAGTTATTATTTTTTTTTATGACAAAATTCAAAGAAATCTAAAACCCTACAAACAAATAAAAAATGTTTTTATTATTAAATCATRCATAATTAATAATTTTAGATTATTATATTGTCGGCTAGTTGTGGATATTAATTGTATACGCTGTCTCTTGTGATTCATTGCAAACATTGATTTGTGATACTCAGAGACAGTATATTATCATATTACATTCARGAACTTAGTATTATAGGTAGCAAAAAGATGTTTTTTAATTTTATATACTTATAAATTTTATACTCTTATTGCTTTTTGATAATAGCCAAGGAGACAACTTGGGTGAAAATATTAAATAATTGGTAAGAAACAATTTCGGCAACTACTAAGGTTATCCGGGGACAAAGTCGGTAATATATAATGTAGGAAACAGCTATAATGCGCAGCTCATGGTGAAAATCTACAGGAAACGGTCGAAATCCGGTTAATTCTTAACCGACGGTTATCGTAATATTATAACAATAACAACGGCGTCGACGGGTCGTGTATATTAATTAGTCGAGACTCGAGGAGCATTTGAATAATTGATTCAAATGGCAGTGATGGCGGGCGGTCATAACGCGCGTATAGTAATAATAATAACAATAATAATCATTATTATTATTACTACTATTATTATTATTATAATAATTATTATTATGGTAAACAAAGGACACACGACCGCGGGCGCGAGTATAATGCAGCTGGTACAACTGAGAACGGACTTTACTMTTACTACCTATTGTACAACGGCCGATGTACAATATATTTTATACACGCAAATCATGTAGTGTTAGATGACAATCTGCATACTATTCATCTAGATGCATTTTTGTTGTTTTTTATCTCAAATTTATAAATCGTTGCTTTTTAAATCCAATCGTTCTCTAAGTCATGACTTCTGATTAGCTAAAAATCAATTAAACAACAAACAATGGAAAGTACAGTTAATGATCTTAAATAATCTTATAGATTTGAGTCACCTAGGTGATATAGCTATATCTATTTAAAAACTTATGATATGATAATAATTTTAACTCTAAGCTTTATCCTTTTTCCTAAAAAACAATATATATATATATATATATCATTTACTGCAGTGTGTAAGCATTATGTTTCCTATATTTTCTAATAAAATCCTTCATAAGTACAAGTAAAGACTTCGGAATAATATGCATTTTTTTTATATATGGCATTAAAATACTGACGTCTCTATAACGAAAATAATACACACATATATGCAAGGATAATAAAGATTTCAGAAGGATTTGCATATTATATTACATTAGATTGTATATATTAGCCATACGCTAAAACGGGTCAAATAAAATATATATTATATTAAAACGCGTCAGTGACAGATGGAATTAAATTTGTACACCTTGTTTGCTCTTTTAAACGTGCACATCACTCTTAATAAATTTTCTTTCATTATATTAAATACTAGAAACAGATATTTTATGTACTTGATTAAAATGTAAGTTTCATCWCTATAAAAATATGTTAAGAGGAAATTAATATGGAATTACAGTGATTTAATTTAAAAAATTGTCCCTTGATTTTGAATAAACTGAGTTCGTATTCGTCATAAAAAAATCGTTTTACTATTTCAATGATTTTTAAAAATTACCCATACACTTTTTATGGGTATATCATTTTTATAAGCACACATAATATTTTTTATTTTAATTACGTGAATGTACTTGACACTTTTTTTTTCTTAACACCACACGGTCATCGCATTCGTTGCAGCTGCAGCCGTCACAGCGACACGCTCTTTTCATATTTTTCACACGCATAAAAGTATAAACTATTTTAATATTATTAGAGTTAGTTTATTTTCACCAGGAAATATTAATTTTTTCACCCTGACCAGAATAAATTGTAATTCGWGTTATAAAAACTAAGACCCTTGACGTAACTACGTAACACGAAACATTCTGACCATCTACTATATCGTATAAACTATGTAAGCGGACATATGTATAACTGACTATTGAGCGTTGAACGTTATTTGTTAATTATCATAAATTTATCATAAAAGCATTTGAAGTCCAAAGGCATACCAAAACTATAAAAGCGTTTATTTTCAGAATTCTAAAAAAATATTATATTTAAATATTTTAAAAATCCATCCACGAACAAACTATATTTTATTGGAATGCAAAAAAC